CAGGCTGGCACTGGCAGCCCTTGTCAGGCCAGGCCCCAAGGCTCCTTCCCTCCCTCCCTCGGAGGCTAAAATAAGCCAGGAAAGGGCCCTTCCCCCACCCTTTTACTGACAGAGCCAGTTAGAAGCCCTCCCCCCCGACGTTCTAATTTCTCTCTCACCGTTGATGCCTGGAGTTAGATCCCTGCAGAGGCCATTTCAAAAGGTATTGGGGGGGATTCAACCCTCCCTGAAGGGATTTTTTTACTTCTTGGATTTTTCTGCAGACACAGGAAGTATACTGACTATGTAGGAAAAGCTGTTGGGGGAGAGTGAGCTTCCTGTTAGTGGAAATAAGTATCCGCACAACACACCCTCTGTTGGAATTAGTATATAGATTTTAGCTCTGGTTTTAATTGTTTTAAAGGAGTGTTTTTGTTGGTTTCAATAGTTGGAAGATGTGTTTTTTATGTATGCTTTTGTTTTATTAGCTGTTTTGGTGGCTTTTTGAGAGCAGAAAGGTGGGGTATATATTTTGTAGAATAAGTACATACATACATATGTAAATAAATAAATAACAGTTCTTCCAGAGCAACATGCCACTCACTTGATACATGAGTAGGCAGTTCAGCTGGTACAAATGTTTAAGAGGATGTGGAAAAATTGGACACAGACCAAATTTTAAAATGTAACCCTGTAAGATGAAGAAGAATATGCAGTCTCTTGTTCTTAAAAATGATGTTGGAAACAGCAGAATGTGTACTCAAGTTATATATTTTCTGTCTACCTCAGATAACTATTTTGATGTCTGGGAATTGTATTTTACACAGCTATTAAAAATAGATGGAGAAGTCAGATTACACTTTTCTAGCTGAGATCAATTGGCCAACCCAGCCTCTGGGATATATTAACCAGAGAATCTTTTTCAATGTCTCATGGGTTAATATGAGTAACCCATAAATCCTCAGCATTCACAGCAATGAATGTTTCATGTTGATATGTTCTGAAATCCCTCATTTCTGCCTCTCAGTCCTTTGGCATGCAGTGACCACCATAGGTTTGACTAGGGTTGAATCCCCATGCCTCCTTCTTAATGACTCGTCTTGCAACAAAAGTCATAATCCCCTCTCTGCCAAAGGTAAATTTGGGCCAGTCACATTCACTCAGCCTGACCTACCTCACAGGCAGGAGAGGAGAACAATGTAAGCTGCTTTGGATCCCCAGTAAGGAGAAAAGTGGGGAATGAATGAATGAATAAATAAATAAATAAATGGTCTATATCCTTAATCCCATGTTGTTTTAGTATTACTATGTGGAAATGTGTCTATTATCATGTTGATTAACTCTGCCAGGCACCTTTACAATATCACACCATTAAAAACAAAATGAACTGTCTTTTAATGAAGCTGGATGTGCCAACTGTTTCTGAAACAAAGCCATCCAAATCTTTGGAATCTCATGTTAGTGATGCATAGCTACAGGAATTTCTACTGTTATTTTGTTCTCCGGTAGTTCCCAGGATCTTCTTAAATCTCTCTGGTGGTCCAGAGTTCAGTCCCGCAGACACTAAATACACAGCAGCACTAGGGTGTTTCCCCCCTCCAGTACCCCACCCTGCGCAATCAACCCTCTTTTCTTTCTTTAAAAAAAACCCTCTGCTGCTAGGATGAAATTGGCTTCTTTTACAGCGATCACAGCCAAAGGACGACTACTGTCCATGTGTGATGAGCGAAGGGACTCGAGCAAGCGGGCTGTACCAATGTTGTTTACCTGTTGCATCCGCCCTGGATGAGGCTGAGTTCCGGGAGCTGTCCAATGTACCCCGCAAGCCCTTTGTATCCCCTCCCTGTTTCCGTCAACGGTGTCCTGTCCAAAGTCAGAACGTCATGCTCGGCGCCCTCCCGCCGTCAGCATCCGCGATGACTGTTCATCCCCCCCCCGCTTCGCCCCCCCCAAAAAAAAATAACGGAAGGGAAGAAAAGGTAATCCGTTTGCTTCGCCTTGAAACTTTAAAGGGAGGCCAAAACTAACCTTTGCTTCTGAAGGGGGGGGGGGTGTCGAATCTTGATCCGGGCGGGGAATGTTTACTGAACTGGAGCCACGCAGGGGCGATTTTGATAGAGGCAAACCCGCGTGCACCTGCCTTGGAAGCCATGGTCTCTTCATCTAGCCGAATTCTACAATTCTAGCCGAATACAATTCTAGCCGAAGATGGGATTGGGAAGCAAGAAATTAACAGCAAATCACAGAGCTAGTTTAAGACAGGTTGTTGTTTTATTTTATTTTTTAAGGATCGCACCTGCCGACGGGCACAGATGAGCCTGCGCACAGTGGCCGCAAAGAACAAGCGCGACCAAATAGAGCTTCTTATTAGTTTCGTTGACGAGCTGACGTTGGTTTCACTGGAGGGATCCAGAAGTAGATGCGGGTAATATAAACTGGATTTGCTTTGACATCATCACCACTCCTAAAACCAGCGTGGCATAGCGCTGCGAGTGTGGTCCCGGGATCTGGGAGAGAACCAGTTTCAAATCCTCACTGCCCTGGAAGCGGGCTGGGTGACTGTTCGGGCCAGTCGCTCACTCCCTCGGCTTGCCTACCTGGTAGGATTGTTGTCATAAGGATCAAACGGAGGAGGGGAGAACTCTATTGTAAGCCCCTTTGGGAGAAAGGAGGGGTAAACAAATATTTGCCTCTACAAGTAACAGCGAGCGCCCTTGAAGTGAGCCCATTGCATTAAAAGGTGTTCACTCCTGCGTAGACCTGTTAAGGATTGTTCCCAAAGTCCAAATGCCCTCCCCCGAAAGTTTTCCGGATCAAGTCAGCCCGAGCGCTGCTGCTGCTGCTGCCCTGCTGGGCAGATCTTCGCCCAACGCGTCGCAAGCGGAGGGGGAGGGGAGCCGGACGCTTCCCTGAGTTACTCTTGGGAATGTCCCGGGGGAGCCCCCCCCCGCCCCCGCCCGTGCTTGCTTAGGCTAATGGCGGCCCCAGTCCCCCGCCTCCCCCTGGGCCGGGAAGCAGGGCAAACATTCCCCGGTGGTGACCCTGGGCGGCGGGTAGGTCCCCTCTTCAGGATCTCATTAAAAGCATCCCCGCGTTGGCCGGACATCAAGGGGGACAAGCCGGCCTGCCGGGCACCCCCCTTCCCCCCACCCGGCTCTAGCCAAGCTGAAAATCCGCTGGCCGCGCCTGGGGGAGAGGAGACGAGAGTGGGAGCCAGCCAGCCGGGGCCTCCGGCCAAGAAGGAACTGGCCCTGCTGCTCTCGGGGCCAGGCTGCCTCCCGGGCCGGCCAGCCGCTCTCATTGACGCGTCCCCGACGGCCTCGCCTGTCTCTTCTCCTCAGCCCGCCGGCCGCCCTCCGAATCTCGTGACCTCTCGGGCTATAAATATGAATGGCCCCACCGGGCGCTGGGGCCGGAGGAGGCTCCGTCTGGGGCGTGAGACGTCCAGCCAGCCCGCGGGGGCTCCTCGATGAACGGCGCCGCCGAGGTCAGCGAATGGCCCGCCCGGAAGGACAGCCGGGTGGCCCCTCTGTGTTCGGCTTGGTGTCCGAGGATCCCCCCGGAGAGGACAACTTGCCCTGCTTGGATCTCTACGGCTTCGCGGCCGGAGTCCCCTTCGGCCAGGGGGCCTTCGCTACGGCCCGAGGTCTCCCTCTCCCCAGGGTGGGCGATGGAGATCCCGAGGAAGAGGAGGAGGAAGAGGAGGAAGAGGAGGAAGATGGGCGAGCGAGGAGGGCTTCGCTGCTGGGCAGACCCAAGAGAAAGCGGGTCATCACCTACGCGCAGCGCCAGGCGGCCAACATCCGGGAGCGGAAGAGGATGTTCAACCTCAACGAAGCCTTCGACCAGCTGAGGAAGAAGGTGCCCACCTTTGCCTACGAGAAGCGCCTCTCCCGGATAGAGACCCTGCGCCTGGCCATCGTCTACATCTCCTTCATGACCGAGCTGCTGGACCGCTGCGATAAGCCAGCCGCCACCTAGAGGGGCAACAAGGCTGGGTTCCAACTTCCAGCCAGGACGGAAGGGGAGAGATGGAGCCCGTCGCCCCCGGGAAGAAAGGGAGGAAGGAAGGGGCGGGCGGCAAATTGCTTTCACGGGAGGCACCCACCCTGGTGGAAGTAGCAGGGCACCCCGGAGAGATCTGATGCACCATCGGGTGGGGGGGGGGGGGAATTATCGGTATTTCTCAGCCTTGGCCTTTGCTTCCGCTGAAACCGTGCACACTTGTGTTACCCGACGGGAACAACTGCGCCCTGCTGGGAGACTGGCCCCAACGGTGGGTGCGATCCAGTCGAAGGCGCCTGGTGGGTCCCAAAGCTTCCTTCCCAGTTGAGGACGTCTCTCTTGAGCTTGCAAGAAAGCCTCGGGCGTGTTGGGAAGCGCGAGGTGTTGTCCCCTTGGCACCCGGCCAGTGAAAGGCTTTCTTTGGGGGCCCTGCTGGGCAAAGGGCCGCGGTGTCTTCCCGGCCGCCTGATCACGGGAGGGCGCGGCTGGGAGAAAAGGACTCACCCGTGCTGGGAAGTGAAATCGGTGGGTCGGGAACCTGACTACGGAGGTCTGTTTTGAAATGGTGTGAGGAGCCGGTAGAAGGGCCTGTGCCGCCCTCGGAAGAAGGAGGTGGTCAGGAGAGCAGGGCAGGGCTGACAGGCGCGAGCTTCTGTGGAGGCATGGAGCCAGGGGGCCTTTGGGCATCATCAGGACGCGGGACGGGGCGCGCCTTCTTTCGTTCACCGCGACAAGGGCAGGCAGTGGGGAGAATGGGGGCCAGCCTCCTGGGCGCACCGGCCGGAACAGGGCAGCTTAGCCCGGCCCCGGACTCGTCAGCGCCTGGGAGCTAAGCAGGGTCAGCCACGGTCACAACTTGCATAGGAGAGAGCACCAAGAAAGGCGGCTTGCTGGGCGGAGGAGGCCGAGGGCCTGGAACGCCCCATGGAGGAAATCGCCGTGGGTCGGTTGAAACCCGACGGCACCTTCTTCTTCTCTAGCAGGGATCTCGGGCTGGTGTGTGGCGTGGGGCCGTCGAAAGGCTTGCTGGGAAGCCTGGGCTGAGAGACCTGAGAAAGGTCGCGGAGGTGCAGCGTGGACAGGTGCAATGTGGGGCGGGCTGTCTGGGCTCTCGGCTTTACCGTCCTCCCGCAGCCCGCCTAACGCCCCCCCCCCCCAGCGCTGTCACCCACGTCTAGCAAGACTGGGCGGGCGCCCCTAGACTGACGCGCCGGCGGCCTCTGCGGCGTTCAGCCAGCCAGCCTCATTGGCTTCTGCCCCTGCGGAAGAAGAAGTCCTGTCTGCAGTAGGGCCAACCCAGAGTTCAGGCAGATCCGCAGGAAACCAGGTCCCCACCAACGGGCGGTACCCCGAAGATCCCTTGCAGGTTCCAACCCTGCCTTGCACCAGGCGAGAATCTGCTCATGCCACTGGCCAAGGCCAGCCAGGATAGACGGCCCGGGTCCAAGGTCCTGGCTAGCGCTCCGTTTTCACACAGCTGGGGTTGCCAACGCTGGCTGGCTGGGGAAATTCCTGGAGACTTGGTGGGGTGCCTGGAGAGGGCCGAGTCTGGGAAGAGGGCTCAGCCGGGATGTGATGCCATGGAGGAGTCCACCCTCCACGGGAACGGGTTTCTATTGTCTGGAGATTACTTGTAATTCTAGGCGAACTCCAGACCCCACCTGGAGGTTGGCATCCATACCCCCCAGTTTCTCCTCCTTCCCAGAGCTTCCTTTTCTGATTGGGCCCCATAGCACAGAGAGGTGCTAGAGGAAGGTGCCTGACTGGTTTCCCTGAAGTCTTTCTCTTCCCCCAGGGATGCCAAGGAGGAAACACTGGCAGAGCCCAGGAACACCACCGTGGTGACTTGCCCTTTTGATAGCCAGGGGCCCCATCCCAAGCATGAGAGAGTGTGGCTGCTTGAGCACTGGTTGTGTAGACCTGGTTCACCTTCACCTCTTTGCCACACTGAGGTTTGGCAGGCCATCAGGACAGAGTGCGCAAAGATGTAAGTCTGACTGCATGGTTTAAGAGAATCTGACAGGAGACACTGCTGGCTGTTCCCCCCTTTACCTTAAAAAAATACGTCCCTTTAAAAGAATGAGAAGAAACTGAAGCTGCACCATATGAACCAGATTTTCCAGATTTTTCCCTTTTCTAATTTTAAAATGAAGAATTTCTATAATTAAAATGTTGTAAAGCATAACCTTTGATTTGATCTGTTGGATTATGATTATTTTAGGTTGGAATAAATAATCTGCATGCGCAAAATTACACAGGAGTCAAGTAATAGCACCTTAAAGACTAACCAAATTGATTCCAGCAGATGCTGCTGTGAGGCAGAGCTCACTTCTTCAGAGGCAAGTGTCTGTGTTTGTCTCCTTTTTGCCACAGAGTTAATTCTGAGCACTTCATTTTAAATGGAAGATGGAGGTACCTTGTAAAGTGTGGTGAGCTGCATGAATGTCTGGGGGGGGGGTTCACCTTGGGTCCGTGTATCAGGAAGTACCATGAGATTCACCCAAAGGTGCTCCAGCCACCCTGCACACATTAAACAATACAGCACAGAAGTTACTTCATCATGTGACATGGTTTTAATCCTGTTGGCTTCTGATGAGTTTCCTGGTACTTTGGTTGCACTGAATTATAGATAAAGCTGCAGTTTTATATCTAGCTGCCTATGTTCATCCACGGCCACAGTGATTTCCTTGCCTTTTCTGTCTGATTCTCTTGAAGCTGACAAAGAATTAGAATTTCAGAAATGGTTTAGATTTCTCTCTGTTTGCTGAACTATACCAGCAAAGAACTATACCAGCAAAGTCACCCTTGGGTTTCCAGTAATATATTTGAGATCCAATCCTGATATTGTTTTATTGATGAGCAATATCATTTTTATTGTTCCTCCTCCTTATGAATTTCACTTTAACTGTATTTACACATGTATTCGTTTGTGTCCCCTTTTAAAATCTGCCCCTATTTTTCATCAGCCACTTTTTAATTCCAGTTGGTGTCATGGTTATGTGGCTGTATTTTCCCTTAGGAAACATCCTGGACTTCCAACCTCATGATAAAACTGGAAAATGTCACACACCAGAACATTTACTACAGAAGTGGAAAAGAAGAATACATTCACTAATCAATCCTTTGTCTCCAGATGATCCCATTATATTGCGCTCTGTCAATGGAGAAAGTACTAATGTAGAGACAGACAAGCTGATTGATATGGTTCAGAAGGCTCCTGCTGCTTTGGTTTCAGAAAGCCATTGCTGTGCTCACCATACAAGTCAACTTTACACCAAGTTGACCTTTGTAATGTTTCTAGCACTTCATAAAAATAGAGTACTTCAGTACTTTAAGTTCCGATACACATAATGTAAGCTAGACTCTGCCAGATAATATTGTTGATTTTCCTTTCTTGGCTCAATGAAACAGCACTGGAACATTATTTTCATTTTTGCAGCCAGAGCTTTTCAGTGCAGCAGGAGTGTGGGTACAGTAGGAGCATTAACCAGCTGGCTAGACCCCCATGTTTGATTCCCAGGCTGGGTAGCTTGTAACTGCTGAGCATCTTCTGAAGAGAATGGTCCTCTAAAGCAACCATAATCCTCCAAACACTGATTTGCTCATCTCAATATGCTCAAATGAAGGCACTGGGAGTTTGACACTGGTCTTAGAGAAATGCTAAGATTTCCTCTATTAGTATGGAACATATAATGGACACTTTGGTATTTCAGTTGTCTTCCCCCAAAGGTCATTCAGGACACCTTTTCCAAATACAGACTGAAGCCAGTCTATGCTAGGCAAACATGACTGTACATGCTAAGACTGTTCTTGGAGACCCAGCCTATGGCCACCTTAAAGAAATGCAGTCAGGCAGTTATTCCATGATTAAATTTATAGGCTCAGGCTTCTGCATTCATATGAAATGTTATTGGAGTTTTATGTGAACTTTGCCTGCCCCCCTAGAATTTGGGCTGAAAGAGCAGCAGGAGGTTTGGTAGGGAGGATTTGAGTAGTCTCACCCAAGCTTCCTTGCTGCCTGGAGAAGAAAAAGCCTCCAGTCAACAGCTTGGGCTGAGTATGCCCCACCCCCTAACCTTCAAGTTTGACATCTCTATGGGACTAGAATAGTAGCAGTCAGTGTTTCCTCTAAGCTGAGTTAGTGTGCACTAACTCATGGTTTTTGAGCCTCCAGCTCACTCGTTTTAGTCTCCGTCCAGGAAGGATGGTTCCAGAGCAAACTAATTCATGCAGTAGCCAAATTGCTCACTCGCAACTTTAAGGCCAGTAGCTCACAAAGTAGAATTTTTGCTCACAATACTCCACAACTTAGAGGGAACATTGGTAACAATAGCTGCTGCAGCTGGGTTAACAGGCAGCTGGGGGGGGAGAATTGGAATCAAACACTTTGGGGTGAAGGCACTATCCTTTTTAATGTGTCCCCCAGTTCTAAGGCATTAGCCAGAGGTATAGTGTAGTGACTAGAGTGTTAGATTAAGATCTGAGAGATTCAGGTTTGAATCCCCACTTTGCCATGGAAGCTTGCTGGGTAACCTTGGACTAGTCACACACTCTCAGCCTCACCCACCTCACAGGGTTGTTGTGAGGATAAAATGGAGGAGGGGATAATATTGTATGCTTTGGGTCCCCATTGGAGAGAAAGGTGGGGTATAAATGAAGTAAATGAATAGGAATGGAATCTATCCAACATAGTCCAGGATTCTATTTTCTCCCAAAAGCAAAACTCCACCATTCCATCAATGTGCATTTTTGAAAGACAGTCTCAGCTTTCCAAGACAGTTGAAGGTAATAAGAATAAAGCTGCAGTCCATACTCAGACATACATTTATTTATTTAGAACATTTTCTTTATGCCACCTCTTCCAGAAACCTGTTCAAGGCTTTAAAATGTTAATCTAAAAGCAGAATTGAGCAAAATTAGAGCATGGAACAGAGCAAAATATGGAAACATCACTCCTGCAGCCACATCCTTCTGAC